GGGAGTGCTTTGGAGGGGAGGAGATTTATCAACTGCACAGGCAACGTTTTGATAAACTTACGAGAGTTTAAAATAATTTTTTTGAAGACAAACATTTTTTGTGACAATCATTTCAACTTTCGAGGGCGCGCAACCCAACTCAAAATTTTTTTTTCATATTGACGCTCAAGGTGCCTTTACACAGATACGTAATGCTCGATTAGCCTGCCAAAAATGGGTGTCGCTTTAACTCTAGGGAAGATTTTGGGTGGTGAGGGAATCGAAGGCGGTGAGGAGGATGAATGAAGGGGGGGGATTGGGGGGTTGCGTCCTTTCACTTTTTCGGCGACTGGTTCGTCACATTTTTTTTGGTAGCCAGACTGTGACCTGTTAACGTAACTCGCGTAATGCATCCTGTAGTTATGTTAAATAGGGCTGGCATTCCGCTGAATTCCGATTTCCGTTTCAGTTCAGACGGATACAATTATGTCATTATGGAAGTTACCAATTTCCTATTTCTGCACTTGTTCATTTTTTATTCCTTTAGTGGATATTAATGGAAGTCAAAATGATGATCACGATTTTTTGTAAACTTCTAATTCATAGATTTTTTAGCAGACAGAACTTCCTATTTGCATTATGTCGCTATGTTTTTTGCCAGTTCTAAGTTACATGTGACAAAATTCAACTGTTTAATGTCAGTTTATTTTTTGATCAAATTAAAGCAAATCGAATTTGAACTGGTTCACATTTTCTGCTGATTTTAAAACGGTTTGTTGTTCATGTTTCATTCACGAAGTTAATTGATTTCTAGCTGCAATTTTTTGTTCAATTTATTTCACCAAATATCGAGTAAAATTTCCTTTTAACTGCATGCCAGAAGAGGTGTTTGCCGCATTTTTTCCCTGGTTGAATGTTTACTTTTTATCAGGTGTTTCCAACTTGGTCGCAAAGCCATTAATGAGTGAATTTTTGTGCTTTTTTTCTGTCTGACTTCTTTTAACTACACAATAGATAAGTTAAACCTCGTAAAAGACTTTTTTTTTAGCAGAAACCCTCTTTCCGTTTATTAAAATTTATTGACAGGAATATCATCTACAAGGATTTCCAATAATAATCTTCTTTTTTCTGAAATGTCTGCTAAATTTATTTGAGTTTTACATACGCAACATTAAACAATGCGACCATTTAGGCTATTTTGCAGATTTTCCCTTGCAAAATTTGTAAGACATTCTGCTTGATATCTTCTTTAATTTTTTTTATTATAAAATGTTTGATTAGAATTCAGATTTTTAGTGTGTTTGTTTGATGTTTTTGGATCTTAAAAATCTGCAAAACACGCAGACATTCCAATCTGTATAATAAAATGCACAATTTTTCTTTGTTCACACCAACTGAGCGACCATTAAGACCAAAGTTTTCCCGCAATTATGAATAAATTTTCCGTGGAATGACATGGATTTTTTTCCCGAGGCAATTAAATTTCAAATGAGGTCTTATTTTCTTAGACACTTAAGCTTGATATTCACTTCTAAATTCTCCTTTTGGCGAATTGTTTTCCGCTAAATAAATTCTTTTTGATTCTAAAATTCTCAACTGTTTCACATTTACAAATTGAACTCTATAACTATTTTTACTCTAATCTACAAAAAACGATAAAATACAAAAATTCACAAATTTTAATTAGGGACCCCTAAATTTTACAAACCATTAGTTATTATATGGATTATCTTAAAACCCTGAAAATCTGTAGCTTTTCAAGTTAAGATAAAATTGCTGATAGTTCAAATTTTAGATATTTCAGCGGGGATTTTAACTTGTTTGCGTGTTTACAAGCTTCAGGTTGTTATTATTAACTTTCTACTAACTGCGTGATTGCAGGTTAATGCTCGTCGTTTGGTGAATTTTAGGGGCTAAATCAAAGAGTTTTCACTGTTGAGGCGTCTGATATCTTTTCGTATCTTTCGTCTTCAAAGTTCCTAAATTTTATTGGGAGAAAATTTTACATTTGTTGACGTTTTCGTTCAATATATTGATTTATTTGAAGGCACTTTCAAAGTGCAAAACAATTTTCTCGAGGGTTTTGATTATGTCAGATACATTCAGTGCAGCTTCATGTAAATTACCATAATTATAGCACTTTTTAAAACATATTCTGTGACACCGCATTATCTGAAAACACAGGACTGAACATCTGATTGTTTGTTTTGGTTTAGATATTATAA